AATCTAGCACACAGAATGAATGAACGAGAGCACTAAAGTGCATACCCCTCGACACAATCTGTATGTAACAGTTTCAATAAATTAAGAGAAAATAATTGGTGAAAGTTTTAAGACAAAGAAGAAGCTTCAGCATGTACTAGATTTATTAAAACTTAGTGAATGTTTTGAGACAGACAGAGAATTTTTTGTTTTTTTTAGACAAAGAGCTCCAGCATATTTGCTGCACTGCTGCTAGCTGCAGCAATGTAAAGGTGTGGCTGCAATGAAGGTGTGGCTCAATCAAGCCATGCTCCACCCGCACACACAGTAAATGGTGGCACATGGCCCTAAGTGGTGAAGAAAGCTTTAGTTTTTCTCGACTTTTAAACAGTTTAGCATACATTTGTTAGGCTCTATTTGTTGCATACAAACTGCTATCTAGTCCCTAATGTTAAAAGACTCTGGCCGCTACTTCGGGAGAAGAGAGCCTCGTCTAAACTCACAAGGTATGAAAGTTTGGGCTATCATATCTTTAAAACGAAGAAGATTTGAGCAATTCCTCTCATATTAATGAAAGATGAGGCTTTGCTTTATTGTTTTATCTGCCCTGTTGCTCTTTTGCTTTCACTACGAAAGAGCTGCAGGAGAGCCGACTACGTTTGGCGACTTTGCCAGCTTCTTTTACCACGGAAAAGACAAATCAAGGATTCCCAAGATAGAGAATAACTTTTTCTAGAGCCAGTGTTGATTATAAGACTCTCTAGGACAAGACAAGAAAGCAGTGTCAGCTCAAAAGTGGAGGTCAAAGCGAACACACAGACAGGACGACTGCTTTACCCTCGACCAACGCCTACGCGGTCTCGGGTAATGACAGACAGACAAACTGAGTACCTAGTCCTCGCCTACGCAAAGCTGGGCGAGGCCAATAAATTAATAAAATAAATAACTATTATTCCCCTCCCCATAGGATGGTAATCATGAAGCTATAGTGAAGAACATACATGAACTGTTAGTTAAGTTAGCCTGGGACTTCTCTCCCAATCAGTTGGACCACTTGTTTGGCTGCTTTCAGAAGAGCTGGGTAGGAGCTAGCAAGAAGCAAAGAGATGAACTGTTGGATTTCATAAGACGCTTAGCAGAGGATGACAAAGAAGGAATAATGGCCAGTAAAGTGCTGGAGCTCAAAAGTTAGTTTAGTTGACTATACATAACATTTTCTAATACAGTATTAACATTATTATTCATGATAATTTATTTCTCTCTCTCCATAGACTGATTTATTATTTTTTGTTGAGAATCTCATAAGTGCCATTACTAGTTCTGCTCGTTCCTGTCCCTCAGTTATGAAGAGAATAATTCATTTATTACGAACACTATCAGTCAAACAATTTCCTGGTGAGACCACACCTACTAAACCANACCCCTTTATTAACTCCACCCACTTTAGAGTTTGAAGATAAAGTGCAGTTCAATTCGATTAGTGGGTTTATCTTTTTGAGGTTTTTTGCTCTGGCCATTTTGAATCCAAAGTTATTCGGACTATGACCCGAGAATCCAGTTAGTACATGTACATGACAATAAATACCGTATAGCTGGAAAATTTGGTGGAGAATTAAATT